TGAAGAAGAAGAAGAAGAAGAAGAAGAAGAAGAAGAAGAAGAAGAAGAAGAAGAAGAAGAAGAAGAAGAAGAAGAAGAAGAAGAAGAAGAAGAAGAAGAAGTAGTAATAGTAGTAGTTCTGGAGATACATCTGAAGTAGCTTACAGAGGAAAATGGACTATTCCAGCAGGCCTTCATTCAACCTTTCTTCAAAACCTATCTCTGATATTGATTGACGCTACCTTTGACTAGCTTCAGTGCTGATTAATTTCCAAACTTACCAACCACTTCCTTTCCAGTGCCAGCTAAATTAAGTGTACCAGCTGTGTCTGCCTACATCGCTGTGTGTGGGGTTGTGTGTTTCGCCTGTTGTCTTCCCAGCAAGGAAAATAGCTGAATGTTGTTCTTGTTTTTTGAGTTCACTTTTGTATCCCTGTTAGTCATTCCGGCTTGTGGTGTGCAGAATGAGTCACTGTCCTTAGCATGTTTTTCTTAAAAAAAATTGATTAATTAAGCCTTGCTTAATGAGAAGCTATATGTATAATTAAAGCAGAAATATATTTTAAGCTTTCTATTAATTGGTGATTAATTAGAATAAGGGTTGGGTTTTGTTTTTTTTTGCCTCCAGCACAGTGAGAACTGTAGCACATTCATCCTAAAATGCATGGTTGGCTTCCTTTGCGTGATCATGTTAGGAATGCAATATCTAGAGCATTTAAGATGTTCCTTTGGCATTTGTTTTAGATAGGTTGCAGAGACAATCACATCCTTTATTTCATTTCCAAGTGATACATGCCAGGAAAGACATTCCCCCTCGCCACCATCCCATCCCTGGCCCCTTTCACACAATGAATCTCTGTTTATAACTGGACAGTGATCTAGAAACATGCAATATTATTCTTGGTTTTCCCTTTGAAAGGTCTCTTCTAAAATACTGTATACCTCGACTTACAACAGTCACCATTCAAAGTTACAATGGCACTGGAAAAAGGGACTTATGACCACTTTGATGACCTTCATGGCACTGACTTTCGTGGCAGCCCCAAGATCGTGTGATCGAAACGTTTGGCAACTGGTTTCATACCTATGACCGTTGCAATGTCCCAAGGTCAGGTGGGGAAACTTCTGACAAGCAAAATCAGTGGGGAGGTCAGATTCACTTAACAGCTCTGGGAAGAAATATCATAAAATGGGGCAAAACTCACTTTACCACAGAAATTTTGGACTCAATTGTGAGACAAGTCAAGGATTACCTGTTCCGCTGTTAGATACCATAGAACCATGATGGCGAACTTATGCCATGCATGCTGTAAGTGGCATGTAGAACCATCTCTCTGAGCACGTGAGCTGTTGCCTATTGCTCTTTCGGTTCTGGCACGCCAGCCAGCTGGTCTTCATGCGCATGGGAGTGCCAGAAACTGAAAGAGCAGCTGCCAGTGCACATGCGCATGCAGGGAAGATGATCTGGTCACCTAGTCTTCCAGTTTCTAGCATGCCTTTGCTCATGAAGACCTGCTGGCCAGTGCACATGTGCATGCCAGAAACTGAACGATCATCTTTCTGGCACACACATGCTCACCGGGCAGCTGCTCCTTCAGTTTCCGGCACGTGACTGCACACCAACCAGTTGGCCTGTGCATGCGCAGGTGTGCTAAAAACTGGAAGACCAGGTGGCTGGTGCACATGCACATATTAGAAACTAGAAGAGCAGCTATCTAATGCGTACATGTGCACTGGGTGGCTGCTCTTCCAGTTCCTGGTACGTGCACATGCACATGTCCATTTCGTCACTCAGTGCCGAAAAGGTTCACCAATACTGCCATAGAATATACATAGCAAGGTTTCCAAATTGTCCTTCACAATAAGAGTTGCACCCAGAAAAAGCCTCCATACTCATTGGAGAGAATTGTGAAAATGTTTGGTTGGCCACAAAGCATTCTACATCTTTTTCTATTCCCCAAATTTCACCTCCTTTTAAATTTGAAATAGCTTCTCAAAGTTATATTCAAACTGTTGCGTAGGTGAATTTTGAAATTAAACATGAAAATTATTTTTGGCACTTAAAAAGGTACTTCTTAGTACAATGCACATTTTAAAAATGATTACGAAGTATTTTGGACCTTCTATTACGTCAGACACAGTGGTATGCTTATATCTTGGTTTTGCTCAGTGGAACCCAAGTAGAATCTCAAAGGTGCTTTTTTTTCAAGAGATAAGTGGACTTTCTGGTTTTTGTTTGAAGACGTTTTGCTTCTCATCCCAAAAGCTTCTTCAGCTTTGACTGGATGGTAGAGAATGGAGGGATTTATACTCCTTGCAGATAACTGGTCATTTGCATTCTTTTA